AAGAGAAACAGCTGTCTACTAGTAGTAGTAGGAAGGGTGGGAATACTTCAAAATTAGCCCTCCCAAACAAAAATTGTTTTTCCTTTCGCCATATGACCTCACGTTTTGAAAGCGACGACGTCATGAAAATCAGCCGACGTCGTCATTTTCATCCCACATGAGCATGTCCGCTTCGAAAACGTTTCCTCTCCAAAAAAAAAACAGAACAAAAGGCATGCGGTCAGTTTTGCCATTCATTCATCAAAACTATTTCTCGACCGAATGGGGACAATTATCTGTGTCTGTTTTCCTCCAACAGCAGACCAGGCTTCTTGACACGTACCGTTAAACCAGGAATAAAGAATGCATCGACGTTGTTACGCATGCTTGTAACTAGGAACTTGTAAGACAGGAATAGTACTTCAACTCTAAAATTAATGGACTTGAATTTCTTGGTGTGCTGAACATTTCTATGATCCCTGAAAAACAAACCCAGTACGTTGACATTGCCCTTGCCACTGGGCTGGAGCAGGATGGCATTCGTTGCTATTCATTTGGGAGCTGGCAGTCATTCGAGGGCAAAACGTGCGACTTACACAAAGCTGGCTCAGAAAGCCTGCTCTCGTGCCATGCGCCTGCTGAAGACTGACGCGGATAGCTTGAAGGCAGTGAACGCGTGCATGGCGTGCCTGGAGGACGCCAAGATGACGAACGCCGGACGCGGTGCCAATCTGACCATGGACGGTACGGTGGAGCTGGACGCCAGCGTGATGTGCTCGCGCGGGGGAGCGTTCGGCGCTGTCGCATGCTTGTCACGGCTACCCAATCCGTGCTCCGTTGCGTCGGCCGTGCTACGACAGAGCTGTGATTGGGACGATCCCGACGGCCGAGTGCCGCCGGTAATGATGTGCTCTGCTGGTTGCCAGGCATGGGCGGCGAGATCGGGATTTCCACTGGTAGATCCCAGACTGCTTATCACCACACGCACCCAGAAAGCGTACGCACGCTACAAGAAAATCGTGGAAGAGCGTGCTGCAACGGCGCTTAAGGCGAACGCGTCCGACAGCAGTGCGTGTGCTGGTGACGTGGAGGACAATCTCGACGACGACATTGACTACGCGGATGACGGCGGCCAGGGTGCCTGCTACAAGGACGATGATGACGGCGATGATGATGATGTCATAGACGATGATGATGATGATGATGATGATGATGATGATGATGATGATGATGATGATGATGTCATGGATGATAATGACCCACCGCGTCTAGACACCGTCGGTGCGGTAGTCCTCGACCGGAACGGCGTGCTGTGGGCCGCGGTATCGTCCGGTGGTCTTGCTCTGAAGGAGAGCGGCCGTATTGGGCAGGCGGCACTCTTCGGCTGTGGCTGCTGGGCAGAGGAACGTCGGGAGAAGCAGCCACAGCCACAGGCACAGGCGTCACCGCCTGCTGACACTGAGCATGAGAGTAGTGGTGCTGAAACGAGCAGCGGCAGCAGTAGTTCCGGCAGTACCAATGCCGCCGCCGCAGCTGCTGCTGATAGTTGTGTGAAAGTTGCCGTGAGTACGTCAGGTACTGGCGAGCACCTGATCAAAGCTCAGATGTCACAAACCTGTGCTAGCAAGATCTACGATGCTGATGGCCAGGCCCTTGATGGTATTCGGCAATGCATGCAGGCGTTCTTAGACTGTCCACGGCTATCAACCGTGTCCGCTCCGCTTGGCGGTGTGTTGGCTATCGGGCACAGCGGCAAGAGCGTGGAGGTGGCGTGGGGCCACACCACCGAATCGTTCTTCGTCGGCTATATGAGCGAGCGCTCGGACAAAGTGCACACCGCGCTGTCGCAGAAGCCCCACTCCAGCCAGTTTGCCGTGGAGGGCTGCATGGTGCGGCTGTCATGATGCGGCGGCGAACTACTAATACGCCGTGCCACTCATGTTTGATTTAGCTGTGTGGGTAGCTGGCTTCAAATGGGCTGTATTGGGTAACGTTGCGATAGTGCTCCAGTTTCTCGACAGCGTTGACAACTCTCCATTGCCATTCGCTCGTCTTTGGCTTGCACACAGCACATCAACCGGTAAGGATGCACGCACACAGTGCAGGCTCAGATGCTGGCTTCTCAGTGTGGTGAAACCAGCGACCTTACTGATTTGTGCAGTAAATGCAGTACTGAGATGTTGCGGTATTCTATGTATGTAACCTGTAAAGTTTGTTTTGGGATTTGTGAGGATTGGTTGCACCAAGAGCTCAATGTAGTGAACACAGTTTTATTTTCCAGTTGCCCATTTGTTGCTTATGGTGCTCTAGATTTCAAGTGTCTAGCATTATGGAACACTTGAGCAAGGTTCTGGTGTGTGTGTGTGTGTGTGTGTTTGTGTGTGTGTGTGTGTGTGTGCGTGTGTGCATGTGTGTGTGTGTGTGTGTGTGTGTGTGTGTGTGTGTGTGTGTGTGTGTGTGTGCGTGTCGTTTGTTTTGCACAATCAGGTCGCAGAGTACTAGTTTTCCAGCTGGCAGTGGTTATGTGGAAGCATAGTCAGTATGATGATGATGAAGGAGCAGATTAGACCGGCATCCGGTTCAAGTTCTCAGGTAAGATTCTAAAGGAAATAGTGCCTGCTCCGTGGTCCTTAATTTTTACGAGGAGGAGAGAGAGAGAGAGAGAGAGAGAGAGAAAGAGAGAGAGAGAGAGGGAGGGAGGGAGGGAGGGAGGGAGAGAGAGAGAGAGAGGTCGCAGCGGGCCGCCACTCTCTCCAGCAACACTTGCACTTTGTTGCATTGCATGGTACTTAGCAAGGCGTTGCCGGTCACGGTCTTGTTGATTTGTGCTCCAACATCCGAGTACGGTGGAAAGCTCCGACAGATGATGAACGTAGGGTTATTGCAGGCGCTGATAACCCCTTGCAACGGGTGCAAGCCACAAAGATAATGAGGTATCAAAGACAATGAGGTATCCAAGGCAACGAGGTATCCAAGGCAAGCCGCATCCAAAGACAGGGGAAGGACCCGAGTGGACCATGCGAGACAAACATTGAGCCAATCCTGTACTTGTAAGAGCGCTACATGTATTTCCAACGGCGGGCATACCACGACGGTGCCATTATTGGCAACTGTGTTGTTCACAAGGGACTGCTCACTACCCTTGCCAGATCTGACCTGGTCGCATGCAACATGGTCCACATCACTCCAACGCTGCACTTGCTGGAGGAACATGTCGCCCCCCCCCAGCATGATGTGCGTCCGTGTTAGACTGGGTCTCCTTGCCGAACAGGGGACTGGGTCCCGTCACGCAGAGTACAATTGCCTACTGCTCATGTACCCCTCCATTCCATCGGAGCTATCGCGGCTGAAGCCTGTTGCGGAGGCTCACCTCGCGAATACATTACCGACGACTGTTCAGTTTAGTGTTTAGAAATAGTTGCACACACAGCTCAAACGAGCCCATAACATGATTTTTTTAGTAATCATTATCCCGTAGAAGCCAGGGAGTAGTACGACTCCCCGATAGAAGCCAGGGTGCAGGGGAAACCCGTAAAATGGGGTATTATCAATAATATCCCATTTTGGGGCAGGGCATGACCTTACCAGCCACTATCAAGTGCACGTGTGGCTAAGATACTATTACGAGTAGCTGTGACAGCTGCAGTTACAGTGAAACCTGGTTTAAGCGACCACCCCACGGTGCAAGCAAAAGCGGTCGTTAATGCCAGGTGGTCTTTAGAACCAGGTCCCGCAGTTTCTGTGTACAACTACATGTAAATGGAACAGATTACCTGGAGACGTCCGCTCCAGCACAACGCTGGAGACCTTCAAAGCTGCAGCAGTACCCTACGCAATTGCTCGTTGACTACATGCAACAGTAGCAAATGCCATGTTTGACAATGGATCCGATTTCCAGCTGACTATCATTTCCAGTGCATACACACTTTTTTCTTTCCTTTTCTCTCTCTCTCTCTCTCTCTCTCTCTTTTCTTCCCTCTTAAGATCTTCGCTACCTTGTCATTGGGAAGAAATTCCCGTTTGGATTTTGCGCAGTAAAACAAAGTTCAAAAAAAACAAACTGTCCGTGCATGAAAAAAACGGTCGTTAAAGCTGTGTTCACAACTGGCGCGTGTACGCGGTACGCTTGAGGTTCATGCGTGCCCAAACGCGCGCTCAGGCTTTCACAAAAAAACAGCAATCCGAGTCGTATTTAGCGCGTGCGACACCTTCGAGTACTAATTTGTTGACCCCGCCGGTCAAGGTGACTGGCATGTACGCTGGTACGTGCCTGATACGCGCTGAAAATTCCAACATTTTGGAAGTTCCATTTCGGCGCGTTTCCGTACACATGGCGCCCCAAAAGCCAGCAAAAGTACGCACAAACGCGTGATTTCACGCGTACACGCGCCAGTTGTGAACACAGCTTAAGAGCAACCCGGAGGTCGCTTACACCCGGGTTTACTGTACTGGTTCTTGATGTGGGTTCTCTCTTTCCTGTGTTTGCTGTGTGCCCAGTTTTCACTTCAGGCGAGCAGCGCGGGATCCTAACAATATCGGCACACCGCTGCTGCTCAGGGCCTGTACCGCTGCTGCTCAGGGCCTGTACCGCTGCTGCTCAGGGCCTGTACCGCTGCTGCTCAGGGTCTGTACCGCTGCTGCTCAGGGCCTGTACCGCTGCTGCTCAGGGTCTGTACCGCTGCTGCTCAGGGCCTGTACCGCTGCTGCTCAGGGCCTGTACCGCTGCTGCTCAGGGCCTGTATAGCAACACGTGTAGTGTGGCGTAAGTTTCACCTACTGTGTCAGTCTGTCCTAGCACCTACAGCCGCCGATTTGTTTGTCGGTCTCATCACAATGGCCTGGCTACCGGTAACTGCACTCTTGCTGTTTTTGTCCTTTTTTAAATATAGTTTTGGAATCAGCATCGGACTGCGAGCTTTGCAGCTAAAGTCTGGTTTCTTTCCTGTTGGTTGTGGATATTATACGGTTCAGACAAACTTTCCCACGACAATGGATTTCAATACTGTCCACTTCTGATCATGTTCTGTTAATACTGAACTTGTTTTTACAACTTCCATCTGCTCATAGGTATCCAATATAATGAGTGGATATTGATGTTGGAATTGCTAGAGAATAAGAATTTTTACTTGTAGTTTGAAATTAAAATGAATAATGAACTCGAACCTCACTTTCGTAATCAATTAAAAAAATTATCATCTTGTCAAACATCACTATGTTGAAATATGCAGGATAATTTGACATTACTAGAAGTCCTTTGAAGCTCTGTAGAGCAGCCACGGTGAATCGATGAAAACACAAAGGAGAGTTGACTCTTGAGAGTCAATATCATAATAATTATACTCAAGTATGCTGTGAGTGCACTGTATGCAATACTATGCATGCATGTACGAGCACAGTGTTCTATCTGCGGCTAGTAATGACACATGGTGGACTGCATGCTGCTCAGTCGACAGATAATATTGGTATGAGAAAAAAACTAAAAAAAAACTAAAACTAAAACGGTGATCCTAGTTGGCATGGTGCAGTATGAGTTGTTGTGAAGATTGGGGATCAAAGAGCGGCAGTGCATTAAAGTTGTAGTACCAGTTCTTGCTCAATGTTATGCTGGTCGTATGGGTACTAGTAAACGCACATGTAGACAGTGGTCAGTACACTGAGTACAGCCATGAGCTCATGCGTCAGTGCCCCTGCTCGCTGTTCGAAGCCATACTTCAAGTGCAGGGGAAGGGGGGGGGGGGGGTACTGCAGAGGCTAAGGTAACATATCCTGCGGGGCAAGGGGGGGGGGGGGTGGTGTACTGCAGAAGCTCGGGTAATAAACATGTCCTGCGGGGCAGGGGGGGGGGGGTGTACTGCAGAAGCTCGGGTAATAAACATGTCCTGCGGGGCAGGGGGGGGGGGGTGTACTGCAGAAGCTCGGGTAATAAACATGTCCTGCAGGGCAGGGGGGGGTACTCCAGAGGGTAAGGTTATATATTAGGCTCCTTGTCAAGTCGCAGGAATGGCTACATCTCCTGACGGTGCTGCTGATACTGTAATCAGTCATTTTGCGTGCTCCTGGTGCATAGATGGGCACGGTGATGAGATCCGATACATGTAGTACGTTCGACTGGCTCCATAAGATACTGCCTTGGAACTTGAAGTCCAATGTTTGCATGCGTGTGTAGCTACCCCTGTGTTGTGTGTACCTGCGTTCACCAAACAGCAGCAGCGTAACAACGGCAGCGCAGTCGGTTGAACCGTTGTATGATCCTCTCAGGCTGCCCGGCCCAGTGCATTCGATCACAGGGGTGTTTCGTCGCAGCTGTCGTCCGTGTCGCTGGGCAATGGGCTACTTCCCTGGCTGCTCTCACTGCCCTCGCTGTCCTCCTCTTCCGACGATGACGACGGGTGTGACGACGGTGGACTGCAGTCGTGCTGCAGGTCAATCTCGACAATGGTGAAGATCACTTTGAGTCCTTGCTCCAGGTAGCGGGTAATGCCTCGTGATGACGTTTCGCTATTCTCCTCCAGGTACGCCTGGCTGAACGCTGTGCGTCCGCTGCGCTGCAGTTCGGCAAACTTCGCCTCCAATTCCGCTGCCGTCAGTGTGGTGGTGCGTGCGAATGTCGCGAAATTCTCACAGTTCCAGTCGCACATGCTGTAGTGACCGAATGCCTGCGGGTGCTTCAGGAAGAACCGGGCCACGGCGGCTGCATTTTTCAGCTCCATCTCCGGTCGGCACGGGTTGACCAAGCTGAGCGTTGCGCCGTCCGGGTACTCCGCATCCCCGCCACCGTAGTTGTACTGGATATACTTGCCCTGGTACGAAAACTCGCTCAGCGGCTGCACGATGATGCAGTACCTCTCGGGCCGCACCACCGAGCGGTTCAGCAGCTTGATGAGGCCCTCGCGCTTCTTGTACGTCAGCTGCCGCCTCCAGTCGCCGAATATGTAGCCGTCGGTCTCTTCGATGCCGCCCTGCTCACTACCTGTGCCCAGTAGTTGGTGATCCGGTTCATAATCCTTGCCTGGGTCTGTGTAGGAGATGACGTAGACACTGCTACCATTGCGTATTACGATACCTGTACATGTTTGAGGATAACAACAGGTCAACAGGGCGGAGGACATGTTTGAAACTATCGAGCAAGGCTTGCATATTATGCATTACGTGTGCAGTAGGTAGCGGATAGACCAAGCACAAAACGCTAGCATATACATGTACGAGCAGGGTCAAGATACGCAAACTGACCTATTTCGGGCACACATGCCGCCCATCTGGCTGCGAGCTTGTACGTGACGTGATGTTTGGTGTGGTGGATGGTAAGAGAAAGCGTGGTCGTCCGAAGATTTCCTTCGCTGACAATATCGTTTCGTGGACTGGTATGTCTCTGCATGAGAATTGCCAGTTGGCATCTGACAGAGATGCCTGGCAGTCACACTGTGCATCTACTGCTTACACAGCTGCATAATGCCGTTTATTATTTTAATTATTTTATTTTACTATTATTATTTTTTTCGGCAACGCAGATGATGATGATGATGATGATGTGTGTTCTGATGAACATGTTGGTCTGCTGCAGATATGGGTACTGGTAATACAAGCCTCATCTGGCCATTTCGTAACACCAGTAGCTGTTGCACTGAGTGCTGCGCTCACCCCTATTGGCCACGCTGTCCACCGTTTAAGGTCCAGTTTTTGTACCCGATGCCGAGCGGAGTGAAGGCCGTCTGCAAGCTAGCCTAGAGCCTAGTGGCTGCTGTGTTGGCGTGGCTTCTTACCATGATGGAATAGCATGATCCTGTCCTGTAAGCTGGGAGGCACCGAGCAGCCGACCATCATGCTAAGAGTTTTGGGCATGGCAATGTGACAGCCATGCTCCAGGCAGGACTCGTCGACAAGCTGCACTTTCACCGTATCGTGGTGGACCATGTGGCTTAGGATGTTGCTTGACCACTCGAATGCTTTCTGGGTGGCAGCTGCGCAAAACGAAAGACAGCAGAACCACTTTCATTAGTGGAATATAGTGACTGAAGGCAAGCCGTGTGAAGCAAAACACAATGATAAAGTACGCATTCCATAGTATGTTTATACAATCGTGAAACAAAGTGAAAAGATAGATTTCATATACTCTCTCCTATACAGGAACTCTCAGCCTGAGCTGGTTTTGCTCGCGGCTGCAACGCACGGGGTAGTGAACCCAGGACAGAAGCGGACCAGGCATCATGACTTTGCACATCTATCGTTATGCTGCTTCATTACGCGACCTGTTTTATTATTATTATTATTATTATTACGTAGTGGTTGCGACTTCGGCGATGATTTGTAAGAAAGGGTTTGCTCCCCACACCGGAGAGTCGTGAGTCAGTCAAGTGTCAAGTAAAGTCGGCGGAATAGCGCGAGCTCCGGTGTGGGGAGCAAACCCTTTCTTCTTCTTATTATTATTGTTGTTATTATTATTATTCTCCTATACATGTAATTATAGTATTTTACTCATGAAACTGCAAGACTATCCTATGACTGTGCATTAGGAAAGAACTGTTTAGCAAGAGCAGCTAACATATGAACTTCGTGGCTCTCAGTTTCAAAGCAATTGGGACGATCATCAGCCTGCATGTCACTACGCTAAAGTCAGCATCAGGAAGTCCTACCCAAACCATAATGCCTTTATTTGGTTTGGGTACGACTTCCTGGAGATGTGTCTCTCCAGCGTTATACTTCGAGGCGCGTGTGTGTGTGTGTGTGTATATGTGTATGTGTGTGTATATGTGTATGTGTGTGTGTATATGTGTGTGTGTGTGTGAAACATTGAAAAATGAAAAATAGGGATTCACTGGCCAGAAAAAGTCACTTCAATCAGCTGTGTGGTGGATACCAGGCTAAAAATAGTGGCGGTCAATTCATCAGCCTTGCAAGCTGTTGAATGGTGTAATCCCAGCACAAGTTGCTATGTCTAACATAGCTGTTCGCTATCATCGCTTCCGCGATGAGCAGGTCCGAGGTCTGAGGTGTGTGCGTGTGCGTGTGTGTGTGTGTGTGTGTGTGTGTGTGTGTGTGTGTGTGTGTGCGCGTGCATGTGTGTGTACATGCGTGACGGTGTGAGTTGATGTGTTCCCTGTTGGACTGAGCACATCTGCTTCTTCATTGCATCTGTTCCACCTACCTTCTTTCCATTTGTCGAGAAAGCTCATCTTCTCCGCTTGTGTCTCTGGCCTTTCCACATCGCCAATCAACAGCTCCCTCTCATCCTGTATCGCACATGAGCAGAATAGAATGCCAGGATTAATATCCACGTGACTGTGCACTGGACATGACTGTCGTATATGCATAATGCACTATTCGTGTTACTGCTATCACGTTGATTAATGTTCTGCGTTATTTTTGTCCGTACAATTACAAGATGAAAGCCGTAACAGTTTTACACCCGCACAAACTTGATCCCGCTTATCCTGTTGTCAGCCTCAAGCCGCAGACGGAGACTTTCGCCCACACCACTGACTTGTGCACGCGAGCCCATCTCTGCCAACCAGGGAGTAGTAAAATATCGGTATTTTACTACACCCTGGTGCCAATCATCATCACCATGGTCACTATAATGTTGCAGTCTGCGCCAGATCTTTGTTGATCAGTGTAGCCTGCCAATGGCAGCCTGTATCATTTTGTGTATGATGCCATGTGTTACTTCGCATGCATAGCGCGCAGCATGCAGGCAGTACACCACTGAGTCTGTCAACAGCTGTGCTGCGGCCAGGGACAGGGAGTTGGCGCCTTGTCAAAAGTGACACAAAACTCATTGGAAGGCAGATATTGTCACATAGCGGACGTTCTGGAATCTGGATGCTGCACGACGGACAGTTTACTTAGCTTACTATTAGCTACATGTACTAGTGCGATGGGCGCATGTTCCAGACCCTCTGGAACGTTCATTCACTCAATGTGTTTATTTTGCCGTAGAAGAGGCTTGGGTTGTTGCCACAGTAAAACTAAATGACCCTCAGAAGACAAGCAACCAAGCTGAGGCTAAGCTACAGTACATGTACATGACTGTACAGTATGTACATGACTGTACTAGTACATGTACATGACTGTACAGTCAGTATGTACTAGTACTGGCATACATGTAGGTTTTGCGTGTGCAGACCAGCGACGTAGATCTACATCATGTAAACTATTGTCTTTTGAAGTTGTAATGTTGACTGACTGCCTCACACTGCGCGCGCGTCTGTGTGTGTGTACTCGCTAGACCGGGCGGGTCAGCCTGGGGCTAAGTGAGTATCAAAGGGGGAGGAGCCAAAGAGTCTTCATTTCACTGACATGTCATGTCGCCGTCCTGCATGACATGTTGTTCCCCAGGATAGCAGGGACAGATGGTCGAAAGGCTGTTCCCCTACCCTGCTTCAACTACACTGTACTGTAATACCATTTTTTCTAGTCTTAGGTGTAGGCAACGGGTCCACAGTACAACGTAGATCTACATTATAATTTTAGTTGATAAGTGCGAACATCAGGCTGCTAACTCCGCCGGGATCGAGCAAAACGTCGTCATCTCCGCAGGAGGTACGTGGATCCTGCCTCATCTCCCAGTATTGGCAGTAGCACTTCAAAGCAGGCGTTACCGCTATGCATACCAATGATCTTTGAACAGCTTTCACAAAATCGAGACAGTCACCGCGTGCCAGCATTCGGGGCTCTAAAGTCTAATCCACCGCCTAGTACAACCCTGTGTGATCTGCAAGACGGGAATGCAGTGCAGTGGCTGCTTATGATAGCCTTATCCCCACATCTACAGAGCACGGCACGTTTTGTGTCGGTGTGGGGAAAACCAAGATCTGTCCCTCACATCATCAGCATCATCATCATCATGATCACGAGTTCGAGAATAGTGGGGCAGTGAGATTCTTGCTCTCGCGATCTCACTCACCACGGTCTCAACTCTCAAGTGGATAGGGAAGCGTTGACGTGAGCGAGGCCCGGCCACCCTTTCCTATATCTGTCGCAGTTCCTCTCTAGCTTCGTGCAGTGCAGTTTGCGTCGAGTATCGGTACTTCGCGTCTTTCCAAGACAGGTGAGTAACTTTACGTCCACTGCTACTCATGTTGGCCGCACAAGTCCGACTTCTGTTGGAAGCAACCAACTTTCTTATAATTATCGCCAAAGTCGCGACCAATATTTCATACAATTGGCAATATTGTACTTCGAGAACACCTTCCTCTTCTTCCTCTTGCACACATACATGTACAGGCAATCACAGACACCACGAACACACACGCGCGCGCGCGCGCGCGTGCACACACACACACACACACGAGCGCAGACAATGCTGGCATAGTACACTTACCGGTTGCATCATCTTTCTTCCTATCTGCTCGGCTCACGAGTCTTGCTGAGACTAACGTGATAGAGACGAGGATGAGAAGGCACCCGGGCTGTGCTTGTGGAGCCCGACGTCAGCCTGTTGCCACTAGTAATCGCAGGTGACTCTGCTCCGTAGTGACGTTGTCTAACGACGGTCTTGTTGTTGTTGTTGAAGATCTTCGCAGCTGAAATACAACAGGAGGACATAGGAACCCTTTCTTCGTCTGCCTTGGGTCACGACTTTAGTCTAATTGTGTTCACACGATTGTATGTTCTAGTTTTGAGAGGTGCGAGGCGCTGCAAGGTCTATTTATCCTCGAGACCCTCTATGCACCCATGACGTCCTATACTGTTTGTGTTCTCGGTGTTGGTATACCGGTACAATATGTTAGCTCTCCCCAGCTACACCCTCCGCCCTCGCACTGGTGTTATTCCGGGTTCTCCGTGATACATAGATCATGCTTCCGCTGTCAGGGTGTTATGACAGGACGCCACTTTTCCGTGCCTAATCGGAGACGTAATCGTCCTTGCATTCCCTGCATGCTGGGGCCAGGGCAGTCGTACCCAAACCACTCCCTGCTACACAATCCAGAGCGATGTTGTGATGAAGCTACATCACGCACACATGCCAACACCTGCAATGACGCAAGTCGTGGTGTTTTGGATTATTCCCCTATGAAGTAAGGTGTTGTCCACAATCACTCTACTCTCGAAAACAACTCCGCTGAGCTATCCTGACTCCCGTCGACGCGTCCCCGTTCCGCAACGCCAAGGCCAGTATGCTGCCGTGTGGTAGATCGACGCGGAGGGAATGCTTGCTACGACTCGTGATCAGCAACACGCTTTCGCTTGCTTATCAGATTGGGACAGCTCTGGCTAGCTGTGACAGTGGATTGGATTGCGTCCCTGTGAAACGCCTAGAATTTCTAGAATTTCGCAATAGCAGTTTTATGTACAATGTACTTGCAAACACCTTCATAATCATACGTTTTTGTGTACGTTGAAGATCATATCCGCATGTGCTCATGGATATGCATGTCTGCATGTCTGGGCCATGTGTTGCAAATTCAAGTACTAGTGATGTCCAACACTGTCTGCACAGTTTGAACCCGGCCTTGCATGAGCCACTAACTAGCACAAGGACTGATAGATGTGTTCTCCATCACACGACCATGCAGCAGTACAGCATCACAGGGCAGCCGTGTAATTGTTCGTTACAACTCCACTGTTCCAGCCCTGCAACTATGGGTCACATGATTTTGGCCCTGTTGATTCCACTGTCCACAAGCCATGATCACGTGTACGTACTGCACAAATTTAGTCATAATAATGTTAAAGATGTGAACATCACTCAATATGCTTTATTAATGTTGTTGTTGTTTGGCTCTAGTTAGAGTGGAGTTCCAAAACAGGCCTAAACCTAAATAACACTAGTATCCGGTTAGTTGAGCAGTGAGTATTGCCTACATCCCGGGGTCGCGACTACAGTAGTCAGTACTAGTAGTAACTCCTATTGGTGTGGATACTCATGGTTAGAGCTGATGCAGTCCTTCTAGAACTTTCTAAGGACCGTGGCATGGACATGTACAGGACATACATGTCAAATCTGCCCGCCTGTCATCGCCAGCCAATCAGGGCACTTTAGCGTCTTTCAAAGACATGTACCCGTATCCAGTTCAAAGGGTGCTGGGGGAATATTGAGGGGTTTCCCCTGCAGCTGACTTTGTGAGTTGATACATTATGGTTCAACGTTGCGGTTTGCCCTGGGTTCAATGGTTCAGGTCACACCTAGCCTCTACTCTCCTAGGGCCAAGCTGGACCTGCTTCGCGCATTTCGAGCTGTCACATTAGACATTAGACATTACTGCATATTATTAGCGGCGTTCAGAGTGACTGCGCCAGCCGACCGTACTGAGGTCTAGTGACCAACAAAGAAATTTTCAAATCCACTGAAAGCATCAAAACCTGACTGCTCCAGCTGTAGGCTCCGGCGGATTATGCTCGCGAAATCATGGAATTATAGTTTATACTAACATGAATTCTTGCATTATGCTCGCAAAATCCTCATCCAGCACTGCATTATGCTTTGGCACGCGGGGATACATTAGGAGGAAGCCTACAGGAGTGTACCGGTAATTGTCTAGAGGTTTTTAAGCTGCGTAATGCTTGAACGTATTGCCATCCCTAGTCTTTTATCGCTTGAGCAGCACTCTCTACAGTTCGTGGCCAAGGTTCTGGTTTCATGCGAAGCTGACTGTGCTTGCGTGTTTGTCACACTTATAAGTAGACTTCTCCGACTTTGATACTTTGAGAGATAGATAGATAGATAGATAACGGAGAGAGAGAGAGAGAGAGACAGAGAGAGAGAGAGAGAGAGAGAGAGAGAGAGAGAGAGAGTGTGTGTGTGTGTGTGTGTGTGTGTGTGTGTGTGTGTGTGAGAGAGAGAGAGAGAGAGAGAGAGAGAGAGAGAGAGAGAGAGAGAGAGAGAGAGAGAGAGAGAGAGCGAGAGAGAGAGCGAGAGAGAGAGAGCTAGAGAGAGAGAGAGAGAGAGAGAGAGAGAGAGAGAGAGAGAGAGAGAGAGAGAGAGAGAGAGAGAGAGAGAGAGAGAGAGAGAGAGAGAGAGAGAGAGAGAGAGAGAGAGAGCGAGAGAGAGCGAGAGAGAGAGAGAGCGAGAGAGAGAGAGCGAGAGAGAGAGAGAGAGAGAGAGAGAGAGAGAGAGAGAGAGAGCGAGAGAGAGAGAGAGAGAGCGAGAGAGAGCGAGAGAGAGAGAGAGAGAGATACAATCATTACGATTCAGCAGCTCATGATCTGCATGAGACACTATTATAATAATCTTTATTTCAGGATTGTCCAAAGGCTGACGCCTATCGACATGTATGATATGAAGCGGCATGTGGCTTTTTTCCAGTTTTGGCGCTTGTGCCACTCACTGGCTTTGAGATGTACCTATTCCCCAGCATCACTCAGCATCACCACCAATCACCTACTGGTACATACAGGCAAACACATCTACGCTATCGCATCTATCACTATACATGTAGCTAACTACCTCCACAGCGCCAATTCATCCGCTGCTCCAGCCTATGGCGGACATTCACAATACAGGGAACGGAATTGGGCCAAACTGGGACACTTGATCATCCTCCAGTACTGTTACCAGTTCTGATTTTCACACAAGACATTGAAGTTGAAAGGACAGTGGACCAGTCTGTCCAACCTTGCCACCATTCCAAAGCAGGACACCCAATTACAATGTATACAAAGGCAATCGTGTCCCATGTAAATGTATACGAATGTTTTGGTCCAAAGCAGGACTGTCCTGCTCAAAGCAGGACGGTTGGACAGTTTGGTGGACTGAAAAGCAAGCGATCTAGCACTAGCATTATAACGACACTCACCTTTCATACGATGGAGCCGAACTGGAGATCAGAAGCCGGAAGTTCGCGATGTCGGCGCAATGCTGGCTTAGTGTGGGGTAGCTTCTACCTCTCTGAGAACATGCACGCTCCTCTCGATCTCCTTAGCTAGGTGTAGGTGAGATAGCGAAACTTCACATCAGCAACTTAGATGTTACCCGTGGTGCGCTTGACTTCACCTTTAAACGTACTAGTAACTCTGACCTAAGTCCTTGGCAAGTAATGATCTGGCGTTGGCTTTATACTTTCGCTGCTTCCAAACTCCTTGACTGTTCGCTGATGACTGGGTATTACCATGCAACTCTTAGTTACGACGACAAACCCTACTTTCCTTTGTGTGGCTGTTATCATCTGGCGATTATATACACCCGCGCCTCCGCTCGTCTTTCACAGCTACTAGTACTGAGCACAGCATTCGTGTTTACCGATGTTTTAAGGACTCGTTTGTGCGTTGCTGCGTTCGAAAGCACGTGAGTCGCCATGCGTCGTCGGGATAATATTCCCGTCGCCCCCGCTTGCTTGCAAGACATCATACCCGTATGTGAACGCACCGTGTCGCGCAATTGCCTCACGAACGTATCACTAATGATATCGTCATGCAGCATGTATGCTTCAGTGTGGCAGTGGAAGCGACACATTGGCGGCAGCAATGAGAGATGTTCACATGGTTCTCACTGCGTGCGGGTTATTACCCTTGGCAGCCGACGGCTTGGACCACTGCCAGCGCCCGATCCACATTGTGTAACTGTGCTGGTGGATGCGGATATTCACGTGTGCGGGTCGTTTTCCGAGAGGACTAGATGATGCAACCACTGTGGAGAGCGAGGATCATGACTGATTGTAATGTGAATGGAAAAGACGGTCATAATACATGATGTACATGATCGTTGTAGTTCCTTCGCACCAGACTTGTTTCAGAGGGAACTCCCTTTTCACAAAGATCCGCTGTGTATTCACGCAGTGACTTGAGATGGCAAGGAGCTGACTCGATTCAACTCGGAGTCGATTGATGACTAATTATTTCTGGTTCGATTGCTAAGAAAAACCCCTGCTCCGGCAGATCGTTTACGTAACAAATTAACTATGTACTGCCCCATCCATATTAGCGTTACATGTACTGCCCCATCCATATTAGCGTTACATGTACTGCCCCATCCATATTAGCGTTACATGTACTGCCCCATCCATATTAGCGTTACATGTACTTCAAGTACATATTACACGTGCATTATACAGTACGGTGAGATCAGGCGCTGAAGTGGGAAGTCACCTGTATGTCCTGGTAATGGTATAGCAAGAAGGTGCATGATAGTGCAATATACATGTACACAGGAGAGCTGCCGTAGGGGGCGGGGGCGGGGGCTGGGGGATTCATTACCTGCACCTGCATGTAGCTCGCCATTGTGACCTACACGTACATGTACATGACGGATTGTGCATGATTGTATTCACCAACACGTCCATACATGTTGCGGCCCTTTGTCTTCTTGATGGGTGGACGAAATGCGTCTTCAGCAAGCAACACACTAACAGATGACCAGAGATAAGAAGACGATGCTACTGTGGCCCCGAAGCAGAGAACTCGTGACCATGTCCATATACATAGTCATTGATGTACACTGTACTTGCGTTTTGATGAGTATGGTAAAAAAAGGCGCGCAAATTTCGTGCACTGACACAATGACAGGGGGATGAGCGACCCAGGCGATGAGCAGACAGGCAAGTGTCATTTTCACTCCCATCTGGGGTGCTCTGTCAGCTGCCTCGAGGCATGACACAGTACGGCTGGCATTGCAATATTGCTGTATGTGCAATCCTGTACGAAATAGTGGTTGCGGGTGGAAACGGAGCGTCTCTGTAAGTTTGTATCCCTGGTGATGGTTGTGCCCGGAGAGCAATATAAGTGGTGCTCTTCACGAGTCTTCAGGCACAATCTTCCTCAGCCTACTCAAGCTCAACTGATGAGGGGTGAATTCCCCGAAACACTGTGTATTCAGCAGGGAGTGGTGCTTTCTTGCAGGTTTCACGTTTGCATGTAGCAATGCCAGCCGTACTGTGTCATGCCTCTAGGCAGCTGACAGAGCTGAAGTCGCATTTTGTTAGTGGACACTACATCTGGGATCGGGATGCTAGTAGCGGCAATACAAGCACGCGAGAAGTGATCGTGGACGAGGAGAAAGGACGACAGAACTCATTGCTAAGCTCCACATTACTCATGTGTTGGCCATGTTAGCAATCCTCTCCAATGAAATAACTACAGCACTTCGAAGTATGTCAGCAGTCAGGAGATCACTCTCCATCTACATGTACTATGATTATGTGCATAGACATGTGTTTCGAAGTGGTCCGTGGATACCGTTGTGGCCAACCGTAAACGGCCTGGTTTTACTACTTTACTAGTCTTTACGTTGATCTCTCCTGGCATTGATATGGCTCCGGTCCTGGAATGTTAAGACCAGCTTTTGCTCGGTGCGTGATGTTGCTGTGCACGGATGTGCAGCTCCTCCTCCGTCGACTGATATCACACTAGTCACAATAGTCGTGGATGCAGTAGCTACGACGTCAGAGAATTCTAACTGAGTAACACGTTAGTTCAACCCACTAGCGGCCGGACGTCAAGATGTTATCGCAAACGCGGCGGGGTCCAGGTCACGAAAACATGGACTGATTTCACTGAACTCGGGACTGGGATGGGATTATCGTTAGGTAGTGTGATTGGAGTATCTAGTAGTAGGCATTCGGTTTGGGAAACAGTGCATTTGACTGGTCACGTACTATGGTGCGCAACTATGCTGCAAACACACACACACACACACACACACACACACACACACACACACACACACACACACACACACACACACACACACACACACACACACACACACACACACACACACACACACACACACATGATACCCGTTCCCTGGACACTCCGGCGTCAGAGTACAATGCTTTTGCGGCAGGATGACATCACTGGTGTCAAAATCGTGTCAACAAAGCTTCTTGCACAAAACACGAAAACAATGCTTTTCAATGCGGTTGTCTAGGTCGACACATACATGTGTTCAGCTGGCGGTATGTCAGCCCCATAAAATATTTGAGCAGCGCTACACCACTACTACAGCTCATTCATTAGAAACCGGCACTCTAACTTTTTGGTGTCTGCCGCACATAGTTGTAGATCTCCCAGTAAACAAAATCACAGTGACCACTTCCGCTGTATAGCTCGCTGGGCATCCCATTGCTTTGTAAGTTGATAATCCCTTCCCACTTTGTGTACGTGCTCTTCATCTTCTTTTTTCTCTTCTTCCGTGGTTGGTCTCACCCTCTCCTCAATTCAATTGGCTGTCTTGACATGCCACGAGGTGCAGAAATAAATAAAATAAAATATCGTGAAAACAACAGTACGAAATAGTGGTTGCGACTTCGGCGATGATTTGTAGTGGTGCTTTCTTGCAGGTTTGCCGAGTAGAAGGTTCGATGGACTTCTCGTGTTCTCTGGATGGCAGTCGTGAGTTAGTCAAATGTCAACTCAAGTCGGTGGAATAGCGCGGGCTCCGGTGTGGAGAGCGAACCCTTTCTGACAAATCATCGCCGAAGTCGGAACCACTATTTCGTATTGGTGTGCCCAGCGTGGGCTTGCGACTAGCTGGTTTGGAGATGATAGCGTTGTAAATGACGGAGGGTCCTCGACGTCTGTTCTCACCGTCCAGGAGCAACACTGACTCACGCTGGTGTCTGGTGTTCACGAGGTCTTTGTCGCGCTGGAAACTGAGCGTCTCTGTGAGTTTGTATCCCTGGTGATGTTGTGCCTGGAGAGCATTATAAGTGGTGCTCTTCAGGCACAATCTTCCTCAGCCTACTCAAGCTCAACTGATGAGGGGTGAATTTCCCGAAACACTGTGTATTGAGCCGGGAGTCGTGCTTTCTTGTAGGTTTGCCGAGTGGACGGTTCGATGGACTTCTCGTGTGCTCTGGATGGCAGTCGTGAGTCAGTCAAGTGTGAAGTTGTTGTTGTTGTTGTTGTTGTTGTTGTTGTTGTTGTCGTTGTTGTTGTTGTTGTTGTTGTTGTTGTTGTTGTTGTTGTTGTTGTTGTTGTTGTTGTTGTTGTTGTTGTTGTTGTTGTTGTTGTTGTGTTTATTTTAGTTCGCAAACCAAACGGGCACATCTGTCCAATGAAAAGGTGGCAAATGCAGATAGAAAGCAGTAATTAATGAAATTGGGGAGGGATGTAATAAGGATAGAGGTGGAGAAAAACTAAGCCAGCTGATCATCAAACAGGACGTTTGGTACTCTAGGTACCAAGGGTGTGCGGGATCATGCTGGCGCCAAACTGGCGGAGCGTGGAGATGGCACGTATATCGCTGGGTAAGGTGTTCCACAGCTGGGCGCCCCGGAACTCGAGGCAACCCTTGCCGAACCTGGTGCAAACTGGCGGTTGGCACAGACCCATGATGGAGTGCAACCTACTAGTAGTTGGGCCAGCTGACGAAGGAACTAGGAGGGCTTGCAGATCAGAACTTGCGTGCCCATTCCGAGACCTCCAGACAAGAACGATGACCTTCTGCCTGAATATCTCGGATACTCTGTAGGTGTCCAATTTCAGCAGGAGGGTGCGCGCGGAGGTGTCAAGTCGGCGGAATAGCGCAAGCTCCGGTTTGAGGAGCGAACTCATCGCCGAAGTCGCAACCACTATTTCGTATCTCGATATTTTGCTCCGATTTTGCCGGGAAGTTCCACTCTTTCCAATCGTCGATATTTTGCGGAAAGAATTTCCGGCAGAGTCTGTCTGGGCCTACATCAGAACTCCAGTCTAGGAGTCATGTAGCTTCTCTGTTTGGCATTGCGCAGGATTTTAAAGGCATGCAGGACTGGTCTTTCAGCGGTGGCATCCACCGGAAGGAAGCCTATTATGGTTTCTCTTTCGGAAACACGTAATACCATGGTAAAACTTTTCACACTGTGTAGGGGTGTGCGGATAATGCTCGAAAAGGTGGCAGATTCTGCTCGAAAAGCAGTGAAATTGGCAGAACCATACAAACCTTATGGCGGGCAATTCCTCGAATTCTGCTCCATTTCTTTATCCACATACCAAACATGCATGAAACTTACCAGAAAAAGTACCGAATTCTGCCAATTTTTCTGCCGGCATTATCCGCATATGCCTAACACTGTGTACGTGATTCCTATTCTCAAATACAAAATTGACTGTGCAGGCCTTTCAAAGGCATTGGAAAACTCCCCGGACAAGCTTCATCGCAAGCAACTTCGGCACTGTATTAGGTGTTGGCGGATAATGCTCGGTAATATGGGATATAATGCTCTCAGTAATGCTCCGCAAAAGGCCATATAATGCTCCAAATAATGCTGATAATGCTCCGCCGGATGGAATATAAACACCTGAACCTTGTGGTATTGGGCTACGAAAAACGCTATAATATTGCACCCATGCTATGATAAATCCATAATACAACTCCAAGTAAACATGTACGCTCGGCTGAACTAACGGCCT